TAAGACCATAGTATTTGTCCCTTTAATGATGGTCTACAATGAGGCAGCAAAAATGTCAGCTTACGAGGGTGACTTCTTTCCCTTTCATGCTCTGTATACAGCTTTCCATAGGCTGCAAGCTTAGCCATGGACTGCAGATGGAGGGCATGCTGTTCTAGAGGAGCTTTCCTCATAAAGACATACTGTCCTCCCACCATAGGCCACCAAAGGAGAGCAAACTCCTGTTTATCTTTCTCAACCATAGGAGGGCTGTTTCTCACTTCCTCTGCTCTTTGTCCTATCACTCTGGATGGCTGGGGGTGGGTGGTGGAGGTGGCTGATGGTCTCCTTGATGATGATGGAGCTAGGGATATGAATTGCTGGGTAAGAATAGCCTTCTCCTTGCTTAGGGAGTTCCTTCCCCAAATTCACAGTCTTCTGGTCAGCTGTCTGGGGGAACCGAGGGCAAAGAAGAAACCCGAGACAAGGATTCACTTTTATTTTTGTTGACAGTCTTATTATGTAGCTTAGACTGGCTTTGAACTTAAGATCTTCCTGCCTCAGCTTCCTGAGTGCTGGGATTACATGTGTATGCCACCATGCCTAATTTAGGATTGACTAATTTTAAGAACAAAAGTTGGAAAGGAATGTGATGCTAATGCACCACCTTTGAAATATTTCTGGCAGCAGTTTAGAGTATCCAGATTAATGGCCAAGTTACCTGCTGAGTCCCAGCCTTACCAATTCCCATGAGAAAGCACTAGTTTCGACCAGGAATAATGACTAGAAAATGCAAACTCTCAGCAGAGGAAATACAATCTTTCCTTCTGTGAGCTTAAAGGGCGGCTGTGGTTGGCTAGGGCCGATAATGGTGTGGTCTCTCTCTGCAGCTCTGTTTGCTGAGTTGCTGAGCTGCAGCTGTTGAATTTCCAGACACAAACAAGTATGTATTCTGTGAGCCTTGCTGAGCCCACACAGCAAGGGAGAGCCAAGCTGGATTCCATTCCGCTTTGCACATCAGCAGCTCTGCTGCCAGCTGAACTCCAGGGCAAAAGCTGTGTCTGGTAACAGTACAGGCAGTTGGGATGGCACAGCTGGCCTGACATGGGCAGTTAGTGGGGACACACTTGTCCTTGATTATTTGGGAGAGAATGAGGAATGGAAGGCCATAAAGATTTGCCAAAACATACACCAGCCTTAGCAAACTAGAACACAGCAATGAAAAAAAAATCTGCTTTTACTACTCATCAACAACATGCCTGTGTGTACCCACTTGTTTATGTTTAGGTAAGCCCAGCCTCTTATCTCTAAAAGATAAGACAGACATGAAAACGACATTAAGTCCATATCAACTGCTACCATCAAGAGACCAGCTAACAGGGACAGCGGTGGCTGTAATCCTATTGGCTTTGCCTTGTGCCTCAAGGGTCTAAGTCCTTATTTATACGGGGACTCCATCTAGCATTCTTTTTGTCCATGCCCTCATATTGTAAGAGAAACTTGAAGACAAGGACAAAGGGATCTATGGTGATGAAACGCAGCAAGATGCAAACTGAGGTATTTTCCTTCTATTGCTAGAATGTAATTTCTTTTTTAAAAAAATTTAAAGATTTTTATTTTTAAAAAGATTGTGTGTGGGGCTAGAGAGATGGCTCAGCGGTTAAGAGCATTGACTGCTCTTGCAGAGGACCCAGGTTCCATTCCCAGACCCACATGGCGGCTGTGAACCGTCCTTAACTCCAGTTCTAGGGGAATCTGAAACCCTCTTCTGACCTCTGTGGTATTGCACGACACAGGTGCACTCACATACATGCAGGCAATACACACATACACAAAATAAAAAAATTGTGTGTGTGTGTGTGTGTGTGTCTGTGTCTGTGTGTACTCAGGTGCCTGAGGAAGCCAGAGGTATGGATCCCCCAAGAGCTAGTTTTACAGGTAGTTGTGAGCTATCAGACTTGGTTGCTGGGAATTGACCTCTGGTCCTCTGGAAGAGCAAGCAGTACATGTTCTTAACTGCTGAGCCATCTTTCCAGCCCTATAATGTCATTTCTTTTTATATGTGTAGTATGCATACATGTATGTGTATGTAGAGGTTAGAGGTTGACATCAAGTGTCTTCCTCGTATTTGTCTACTTTGTTTACTGGTGTAGGGTCTTTTGCTAGTCAGTTTGCTCTGTGGATTCCCTATCTCTGCCTCCTGAGCACTGGAATTACAGGTTGGCTGCCATGCCCACCTGGCTTTCTACATGGATGCTGGGGGTATGTATTCCTGTCTTCACGCTTGCACAGCAAGTACTTTCTCCATGGAGCCATCTCTCCAGTCCCTAGGATATCATTTCTTGATGTCCATTTCTTCTTAGCCATGTTTGTTTTGTTTTGTCTTGTTTTGTTTTGTTTGAGACAGGGTCTCCCTGTAGCCCCAGCTGGCCTGGATTCACTATAGAGACCAGGCTGGCCTTGAACTCACAGAGATCCGCCTGCCTCTGCCTCCCAAGTGCTGGGATTAAAGGCATGCACCACCATGCCCCTCTTCTTCTTATCCATTTGTTATCAAGGGTTGAGTTCCTCATATGGAAGACTGAGCCAGGGAGGTCTTCCAACTGTTGAGAGGCATGAAATCTGGAGGACAGGATTTCAGAGACTTGCAGGGAGAATTTCAGTGCCTGGTGGGGAATGTCATTCTGAATTAAAAGGTCTCATTGGGAAGTTAGACCAACAGAGTTGTGAAATATGGATGAAATGTAGAGGTTAGGTACTGAGCAGGCACTGAAGTCACTGGGGGTGATGTTACCTAGACATAGGGTAAGGATTCCTGGGATCCTAAGAGGCTCTGTGTCTTTGGCTTAAAGGAGGCAGTTCAACATCTAAGAACAATGGCAGCATGGTGGGTGGAATAAGATACTTTTTCTTAAGAATAACAAGCTCCCAGGTAGGATAAGGCTGAGATCTTAGCAGACAGTCTGAGAGTGCCTGCTCCTACCTCCATTGTAGGGGCTGAGATCTCAGCAGACCTCCAGAGAATGCTGGTTCTTGCCTCCCTCTGGCATAGGGGCTGAGAACTCAGGAGACTGCCTGAGAGTGCCTGGATCCTGCCTCCATGTGGTGAAGCCTTTGCAAGGGAACTGACACTGATTCTACCTACTCCAACAGCTATCAAGGTGCCTGAAAATAAATCCTGAGTCCATCATTCTCGAGTCCAGCCTTGGCAGACAAAAGAAAAATGAGGAGGAGCCCAATAGAGGGATGCTTTTGGAAGCTCTCATCAAGAAATTCCAATGGACTCTCATACGAACATTTGAAATTTGCCCTGTTCTGACTTTTTTCTGATTCTCTTTCTAGAACTCATAATGCTAACTACTCTTGCCTTTACTTCTCCTTCACATCTCCTAGGCACCAGTCAAGGACTTTCTTTTCTCTGTACAATTAAAGAGTTATGTAATTTGGGAGTCTTTCAGATAGATCCACTGAAGGGGTACTCCAGCTGCCTCACCCTGCGTCCCTATTCAGCATGGAAGAAGCCAGAGTGGTCTGTGTCCTGATTCCCTGTTGGCAACTTGGGTAACCTCTTCAGGGGATGGTGTGATAAGAATTGGCTAGGCAGTTAGAGTAAAAAGACCCCAAAGAAAAGTAGCCAGTTTCTTGGCTAAAAATCAAAATGTCCTTGGACTGCTTAGCAACATACTCTGTTCCAAAGGCCAAAAATGTCAAAAGTATTTGGGAGCTTTTATCTAATCCCTAAAAGATTTTAGGGTTACCTCTTCAGAGGAGGGAATGTTAGAGTAGCAAAAAGCCCCATTTAAAAAAAAAGAAAAGAAAAGAAAGAGTACATGAAGTTACCAGGAGAACGTGATGAGGCGATGTGGGAGGAGCTGGAGGGAGTGGGCGTGGATTTGATCAAAGCACCTTGTATGCACGTATGAAATTCTCCCTCTGTGGGCATTTCATGATTCAGGTGCACTTACCTACATGCAGGCAATACACACATACACATAAAATAAAAATAATAAATAAAATAAAAAACAGTTAAAAGTGCATGAAGCTGTTCAGGAAAAAGTGATGGGGAGATATGGGAGGAGTTGGAGGGGAGGGAGTGGGCATGGATTTGATCAAAACAGCTTATATGCATGTATGAAATTTTCAATAATTTTTTAAAAGTTAAAAAAATAGAATAACAAGCTCCCCAAAATCAAATTTAAAAAATGGGTAGTGTATGTCTGCAACCCCAGCACTCAGGAGGTAGAGACAGGATCAAAAGTTCAAGATCATCCTTGACAGAGTTTGAGGCCAGTCTGGGCTACATGAGACCCTCTCTTAAAAAAATAACAGCTGGGCGTGGTGGCGCAGGCCTTTGATCCCAGCACTTGGGAGGAGGCAGAGGCAGGTGGATGTCTGTGAGTTCAAGGCCAGCCTGGTCTACATAGTGAGTTCCAGGCAAGCTGGGGCTACAGGGAGATGTCTCAAAAAGACAAAAAACAAAAACAAAACCGAAAAACCAGTGGCTGGAGAGATGACTCAGTGGTTAGGAACACTGGTTGTTCTTGCAGAAGACCCAGGTTCGAATCCCAGCACCCACATGGCAGCTAACAACTGTCTATAACTCCAGTTCTAGGGGATTCAACAGCCTCTTCTGTCCTCCGTGGGCACTGCACGACACGGGTGCACTTACCTACGTGCAGGCAATACACGAATACACATAAAATAAAAATAATAAATAAAATATTAAAAAACAACAACAACAACAACAAAAGAAAAAGGAACCCAGAGGCACTGTAAAACCATCATGACCTCTAGATTGGAATTTTCTCAAAGTGTGGTCCCCAAACCAGCAGACTCCGTATTACCTGAGTAGTTCTTAAGGATGCAGATTTTCAGTCTGCTCATCAATCATGTTAGACTGAGCCCTCTACGTGATGCCTACTGATGTTTGAGAACCACTGGTCTAGATCACACAAGTGAACAGTTGCTTACATGAGCTGGATTTAGCAGGCTTGTCAGAACCTAAAGCAATAACCTTTTTATTGAAAGTTTGACAAGACACAGGCAAGATGTCAACTGCCCCAACCATGCTTGCAGTGACCTGACCTAGTTTAGCCTTCATCTTTGGGTTCTGGGTCCCTGCCTTTGTCAAAGAAGTAATGAACCAGACTAGACCATGTTATTGGCATAAGATCACACTTTAGTTCAGAGACAGATTTGCATAAATATTTGAAATGGGTCCACCCTAGCAGGTGGCAGCCTGAGAACATGTGACTCTCTATAACCCTGTGACAGACACCACCACCCTTTAGACACTGAAGATAGTCATGGTCATTTCCAAAGACAGCTCTGGGTTAGCTATGGAGCTTGTTTTGACATCACCATCAACTCCTGGCCCCATATCTCTCTTAAACTGATATTTCCCCCCTGTGAGGTAGATTGTTTATTGGGGAAACCAAATAGAAAATATTGTTTTTTTAATTTAACTTTGCTAGTCCTTTGCAAAGAGGCTGGTTCTGAAGTCTTCCATTTGGGTCAATAAGTGCACTTTTACCTTTTAACCTATGCTCTCTACCAGAATCTAAGCAAGGTCAGTCCACTAGACAGTCAACTGTAGGATCTGTCATCCTTATACTCTCTTCTCTTCCCCACTTATGAATTTGGACAGTACCCAAAGGGCTGCAGCAATATGGGAGGTCCATGCCATCTTGGTATGTAACATCACCTCAGAGGGGACCCTTGTCTATATCCCAGCAGCCCAAGTTCATGAACATAAGACATTCCCCCCAGGGGTCACAGGGGACATGGCTGACTTCCACAGGACTTGGCACCCTCAGGTTTCAGAGCTTCATCACAGGTGTCAGAGGCCTGGCCTAAGGGATCCCTGCATTCCACAGTCCGCCGCTGCCATCCACCTCCACAAGTGCTGTGACACTCAGACCAGTCCCCCAGCACCCACTCTGCATGGGGCAGTGGCTGGATGATGTTGGTGGTGGCTCTCTCTTTGCTGTTCTGCATGCTGAAGTCCATGTCATTGGGAACAAAGAAGGTATATCTGACTTTTGGGGGGAAGACCCCACCAGGTATAGTCAGGAGCTGCAATGTCAGAGACTCAGGTAGGGCCCGGAAGCTCTGCAGCCGCTCCAGGGTCGCCATGGAGCCACTGTATTTTAGAATGGTCCCCTTGATCAAGATGTCCTGTTCTAAGGCAGAGATAGCCAGGTTTCCATTGAGCAGGTACTGCCCGTTGACTGTCTTCAGAGCTAGGTAGCTAAAGTCATTCTGGATCCCTGGGTGGCTCCGTTGTTTCACATCAATGTTTGTGGCACCAGCTGGGATGGTAACAATGTCATTGTATCCATAACTATGATAGAGACAGAAAGACTCTGTTAGGTCCAGTGGCTCCCCAGTCTGGAAAATGAAATGGGTTCCTCAGGTGCTTGGGGGTGGGCAGACAAAAATAAGTAACAAATAATAAAGTAACTGCCCCATAGCTCTACCTGCTTTAGTTGCTGAGGCAGACAAGATTGTCTTGGGTGTTGGGATTTCTAAGGTTTTTTTCTTCATCTGGCAAGTCTACTGTGGATATTTGGGTTGAGACATTTAGATGTGTAGATCTAGACAACAACATGGATAGGAGAGCCCAGAAGAAAAGCACAGGCAACCTGGCACCTCTTGGCTCAAATGAGATCTCAAGTACATTCAGTTCCTTGCAGTGGTATGAAACGAGGCTCGGCCACCCCCATGCCTAGAGTTCAAATTCATATAGGAAAATCTGATCCCCTTACTCATGCCAGAACCCATCCAGGACAGAGGTCTCACACTGCCTCTTTGAGTCAACCTGCATCTAGTATTTGATTACTATGGATGTGGGGAAAGATAGGGGAATAAAGTGGATTCTTTAGAGCCACCTTCTAAGTGTGCTCAGATACTGTGGGCATTGAGTTTTCAGTGATGGGGTACTATTTGGGAGAATGCCTCCAGTCCATTTTAGGCATAAGGCTTTATGTAGGATCGAAGAGCTTAATTCTTTGTTCTCCTATTGGGGGAATCTGGGTTCCACAGGTTTGGGAGAAAGTATTGAGAAAGATGGTCAGGTGGTTTCTTTGCTATTCTTGCTGCATGCCCAGATGGGGTCAAGTGCTTAGTCTGGGGCTACAAAAGCTAAGGCCCATGTGTCTAGAACCTAGGAAGAAGTGGTTAAGGGACCCAGGATCTGAATAGCTCATCCCTTTTTTTCCCATTTATTTTGAGCTTAAATTTGAAATTATTTCCAAGTTGTCTGCTATGAACTGGGTCTATTTTCTGAGACTAGTGATAAGAGATTTCATATATATATATATTATATCTAATATGTACATGGGAATATATATATACATATATGTATGGGAAGGAGAAGATAAAAGAGGGGGAGGGAAGGAAGGAGAGAGGGACAGAAGAAGGAAGAAAGGGAGTGAGGGAGAGGAGGAGGGAGAAGGGGATGATTCGGTACAGGATGGATGGAGGGAGGGAGGGAAGGAGAGAAGAAGGGAGAGAGAGATTAAGATTATGGGGAAGGGTGGAGTAAGCCTCACTGGGGAGAAAACTAGTCAGTAAAGAAACGAAAACTGGAGGTACTGGGGCTGGACTAGTGAGAGGAGGCTTGGATGCCTACACAGCTGGAAGAAAGTCGTATGAATGTACTTGATACCAGAGTGGCAGAGTATGACCCACAAGAAACACTTGACCTTGTCTTTACTCTCTAGGACTCTACAGGAAGTACAAGAAACAGCAGATAGTAAACAACCACCTAGTACTTAAGAAACGTGGTCTGGCATGCAGAGAGACCCTAGACTTACTCTGTAGAACTGTAGGAAAAAAATAAATAAATAAAAATAAGAACAAGAAAGAAACCTAGGTTTTCTTTCTGGTGGTCATTGATTATCAGCATCACCTCAGAAGAGTCAATCTTCACTCTTGATGATCTATCCACAGGAAGGATAGGGCTCCCTTGCCTTGAGGTGAAATGTCCTTCTAGTAAGTGACTTGGGGTAGCTGTTTTGTGGCCGAGGTCTGTGTTACTCAGTGTTGCTCTCCTGCTGATTGACTCAGAGCTGACATATTCCCATCCATGTGGCCTCCAACTCTGATAAAATAATGGCTGCCCTGGTTCCATCCTCTGTATGGCCAGATCTTATGCTAAGTGCTCTACCTATCCCACTTCAAGAAATCCTTAGAATGACTGATAAAGAGATGGCCACTGACATTCTATACAGAAATGGCTTAGAGTAGCTGCAAGACTCATCACACCTGCACAACTATTAAGTAGCAGCTACAATTCAAGCTTAAGGCCATCAGCATCCAAAGCCCTTTATGTTTTTCTGCCTGATACAATCACTAGCCAACCTACCTGGAGGGGGTGAAGGAACCAGAGACCTTCCTGCAGGAAGTGCCTTTGCCCCCACATACTCCACATTTGTCCAGCTTCTTAGGTGAGTTTACCACGTGGTCACAGCCAGCCTTGACGCACTGGCCCCGTACACAGATGGACAGACTATCAGGCCCACACAGAGTGCCGTCGATCACCTGCATAAGGAAAGTTAAGAGAGGATGTGTGGAGCTCAGAAACAGTCTGAAGGTAGAGTGGTATAGCACCCCTACCACCAATCTGAATCCAGGAGCATTCTCACCTTGGCTTCAAACACTTTGAACTCACTACTCCCCCGGGCTCTGCAAAACAGCTTGCATCGGTCCCGGGGGGACACCCCTGAATATTTGGGGACCCACTGCCGGAAATTCCCATCCAGGTCAGTGTGGTTGTAGGCATTATATTTCTCACACTGCTGCTCTCTGAAGCTTTTTCCTGAAAAGAGTAAGAAATGGCATGGAGATAACACAACTGCCAAGGAAGGACCCTGGTAGAGAAAGCTGGATCCAGGGCCCCTTTTTTCCTCTAGGCTCTGGACTCAACCCAAGGAAACAAGGACTTGGGCCCAGTGTTTCCGGACATATCTGGGTGCAGGTGTGATACTTCCTTAAAGGTGCAAAGAAAGGAGTCATCCTCACACTGAGCTTTCTGGGATAAATATCTTTCCCATTTGTAAGTGTGTGGTCAGTACAGAACAATACACAGAACTATATTTCAGGGCCCTGTTAATTATACTCTATATTGATTTCCCTGGTGACACTGGATATGTGGCCACAGACTCATAGACTTACATTTCTTCTCTGGTCTTGTCTCTACATCCCATTTTGTGATTGAGTGTATCTATGGGGGAGCTCCATTTGTAGACACTATAATTACCTCCCAACTCGGTCATGCTAAGCACCATTTTGTCTTTCCAATAATTGGTTTGGTTTGACGTTATTATGCTCCTGAATGAGACTGTCACTCTGGCATCCTGAACATTCAAGAGTCTCTCTCTGCTATTCCATTTCTAATCTGCCGTAATATCCTCTACTAAGTTCAGGAAATTTTGATTCAAATTGCCTGCATGTCATTCTTGTAATCCCAAAGTCAAACCTCATGTCCTCCCCTGGGAGCCCTGAGCTCAGCCTTCTACATTCTTTGCCTCCAGACCAGTCTATCCTCCAGATGTGGATATTTCCCTTGCACCCTTTCAGGGATATTTCCCTGAAATTAGGCCTGATCTTCTCAACCCTTGCTGTTCATTTGAATGGCCTATGGAGACTTCTAAACACAGATGCTGAGTTTGTGAGTCAGTAGAGCTGAAGGGGTCTTGACTGTGCTTCGGAAAAGCTTCTACTTGACCTGGTAGGATAGCTGTAATGGGCAAACTCCAGATGTTGTTTCAGGCTTTAAGGACTTTTGTGGTCTAGCCTTGACATGCTGCTGCATTCTGATGGATTCCACCTGAGCAAATACTAGCAATCCTCACAAGCCTAGGGTTTGTGACTCATAGAGTAAGCCTTAATTGCTGTGTAAAGAGTTTGCATCACTAATCAGATTGCAAAGTCCTTGAGGACAGAGACCATGCCTTATGCATTGTTTACATCCTCTGTAGTATATTATAGTTCTGGACACATAGGTATTGACAAATACTTGATGGAAGTGACTGATCTTGGTACATCTGAAATCATGACAACACCTATCATCCATGTCTACCTTGGATCTTTCCCCAGAATGTCTCAGCCCACATGCCCAGCAAGCTCTCACAGTTTCAGAGTGAAGTTTCTAGAGCCTCATACCATTGCTGATCTTTCCTGCTTAGCAAAACTGCAGAGCCTACAGATTTCCCTATTAAACACCAATTCAATGCCAGGGCGTCTTGGCACTTGGGAGAATTTCTCCTAAAGCTCTGCTTGTCTTTTCATGCTGCCAACATTTCCTGGAGCTGCCCAAGCTAGAGCTGGAGGGATGGTGGGGAAAAAAAACAAAAAACAAAAAAAACCCTTCTGCTTCCCTTTCCTAAGTTGGCCACTGTCCCTCTCCACCTTGGAGTTCATGTGTGTGTTTTCTAGCATATCCTCAGGGATAGGAATGAGTAGGGGGAGGCAGAGGCGGTACTTCTTCTTGAGAAGGCTCTGTTAAGCAGTTGTCAGGGCCCCAAGAAGATGGGAAGCTCTTCTCAGAAAGAATGTACCCAGGAATTGCACTCAGAAATCCTCCCTCCTGCTCAGGCTGAATGTTGGCTAGAGAGACCTTGGAGGTTTGGCTCTGACACTTGCTTTGGAAAAGACTTCCATCTGTACACAGGGCTCAGATGTTTCTAGGAGGATTATTATCCTTGACACCAACTTCTCTGTGAAGGCTCCTTCCTGATAGGTTTGGTTGGGAGTGACTTGCTGTCTCTATAGCTCAGAAGACTAGGACCAGGGCAGTCTCTCTCCTTTACATTACCAGCCTCTCACAACCATGAGAGCAGTTCTGGGTCCCTGAAAACTGTCTCCAAGCTTGTGTCTTATGGAGTCCACATAAGTCTGGATCATAGGTTCAACTCTGTACCTGGGGAGACCACCCTTCCTCTCCTCTTGGGATCTGTGGCACCCAAACCAGCAGATGCTCTGGCATTACCGTTAGGCGGGCATTCCTCTGTCTTGCATGACTGGTACTTGGCTCTCTCACCCAGGCAATATCTTCCTCCATTCTGGGGCTCAGGCTTATCGCACTCACGGTGTGAAAACTGTATTCCTCCTCCGCAGGTTCGGGAACATTCTCCCCAGGGTCCCCATGGGCCCCAGTCTCCATCTACCACAGCCTGTAATACATAATGTCACAGAATCAGGACCAAAGGAGAGGGACTTCAGTTGGTGACTGTGAACCTGACTTCCTCAGCTGAGTGTGTGGCGTTCTATAAATGATTTCAATTACTTGCTTAGTGATGATGTAGTCTACTTGACTGGAGCTTGCTGAGCTCGTTCATGTGACTGCCCAGTGCAAAAAAATAGCACTTTGCCCCAGCCAGCACAATAGCTGCAGAATGAGTCTTGTATGGATAAGGTTAGGTCTGGTGCAGTAGTTTGCCACTGGGGCTCATGCTGTCCTCCACAGGACACTGAGCAGTGTGTAGAGTCATTGTGGCTGCCTCACCTGGGGAGAATATTCACTACTGGCCTCTTCTGGGTCAAGACAAACATGCTGCTAAGTCTCCAACAATGCAAACAGGACTTCAAAAAAACCTTTTCCAGCTATGAATGTCACTAGTGCTGAGTCTGAGAAACCTAGTCTAAAGGAAATGGCACCGAGACTGGTTCCAGTTCTAGAATGATGCTGGGCATAAACAGAATCACAAGTTCACAATGGACTTATGAAAACAAAGCTGCTCTTTGGTAGCTTCACAGAGGGTTCAAAATTAAAAACATTTTTTTTCCAATTACAAAAGCAACATTTGCTCATAGAAAAATGCAAACAGAAGCTGGACGCACGCCTTTAATCCCAGCACTCTAGAGGCAGAAGCAGATGGATCTTTGTGAGTTCGTGGCCAGCCTGATCTACATAGTGAGTTCCAGGATAGCTGGGGCTACAGGGAGACCCTGTCTCAAAAAGACAAAAAAAAAAAAGGAAGTATTAAAAGAAGTTACGTGTATAATTGACCAGAAGAAGAAACATACTAATGATCAAAATAACTGACAATATAATGGAATTTGAATGCCCTGTCAAAAAAAAAAAAAAAAAAAAAAAAAAAAAAAAAAGACAAAAAAAAAGCAAACAGAAGAGTGTGAAGAAAAGAATGCTTTCAAAAGGCACTGTTACGCAGATAAAACTGTTTTCATGATTTTCGTCAGTAGCCTTTCCCTCTTTTGCTCAGAGTATAAAATTCTAAAGATGTGGTGTTTTCATTTGACAGAGACACGACTCTGTATATAGAAGTTAGGAGTTAGTTTTTGATTCTGCCTTTTCACTTTAAGACTATATGATCCCATCATTGTTTTGCATCACTCTCTCACCACAGTTAGTGTGGCTCTGCCTCTGGAAGATGAGTGGACAGACCCTTCTCCTCTCCCCTCAACACCATAAGAAGAGAATGAGTAGGGAAAACAGGAGGTAGCTGAGCTGGAGTTCATGAACACAGCACCAGCCCAGGCTTTGGATGAGTGTGTGGCTTCCATAGCCCAAGGATACTTTGGAGCCTCAGCACAGAGGTATGCCACCTTGGACAGCCCTTGGAGTATGCTCCAGCCACCATGGCGATTCAGCACTGGGCTGGTCCCAGACTGTGAAACTCACTGGATGGTATTTCATCATGATGGCTCCGTGACTTGCACTAAGAGAAATGCGATCAGCCTTGCTGTTTGGACGTATTAAGAGCAAGGAGAAGAAGGGAATCACTTAAAACCCTCGCTGGCACTGCCTTGGTTTTTCATGCAAGTTTCCTCTGTGCTCGGCCAAGTTCTCTCTGCCTGGACACAGGCCACTCAGATCCCGTCTCCTCTCCTCTTGGAGCATGAAATTCCGACAATTACACTTTTTCTCTGATCTTTAATTAGGAACTCAGCTTAAACTCAGTAGGCTATGAATATTTTCACTCAGTCCTTGAAGAAATGTTGCTATCCCTTTACTCTCTCTTTATAGTGGATTCATCCAGGCTCCCATTTATGCCCACCTTCTGATCATCACACCTCCATCAATCTGCTGGAGCCCTCAAATCAGCTCCAAAACAACACCGAGAAGTTGCCAAAGTACCAGGAGCAATGGCAACATCCTGTTGACCATGAGTTTAGCCTCTAAGCTCCTTGTGTGTGGGCAGTTGTGATTTGGTTTTTGTTGTTGCTTTTGTTGAAAGATGAGTAATTTTTCTTAGAAGCTACACGTTGCAGCTTGGCCTGAAGCTTCTTAGTTCCTGATTCTCGAGCATAATGTCCCCCTTGCAAATAGCCATTGCCTTCCCCTCCAGCTTTCCTCTCCTCCCCTTTTCTTCCCTCCACTTCCCTCACCTGGGGAGTCTCCATTTCCTCCTTGGGCAGACAGTTGCCATCCAGGCAGAAGTGCTCTGGCCCACAGGGCGTACCATCAGCCCAGAGCAGGCTGCCATTCTTTGTGTGGCAAACTGGCTCATTGCTATCTTGGTGGCGGCACCAGAGCTGGGCACAGATGTCCTCCATGGAGGTATTGGGGCAGTGGCGGAAGTCAGGCCCAAAGATCTGCTTGCACTGTTGGTCCAGCTCATAGAGGGTGCTGTGGCCTGGCAGGCCTGTGGGAAGGGGCAGGGCTGAAGTAGGGGCATCTAGGAGACAGTCTCCTGAGAACAGAGGAAACAGACCAGTCAGAACAAGGGCAGGGTCTTGCTCTCAGCCCTCCATGGTCCTTGTACTAAGTTCCAATTCTATATAATGTCCTTTAGTATCCAGCCATTCCAGTTTCCTCATCTTTGATCTAAACACCATCAATGTCTAACCAGGTACATAGACCTCATTTAATTCTGGCCAACAGGAGCAAGGGTTTATGTAGGATAAGCTTTCCTTTGCTGTCTAGAACATGTCATTCCCTGAAACACACAGCATGTACCTAGTGAATGCCAGCTAACTGTACTATTAAACCACATCACAATATATGGGTGTGTGTAAACGTGTACTTGAGAGCCATGACATGCTATTAAAACCTAAGTACTGATGTTTGCACGATCTACTACTTTTGCATCAGCTACATTCCTGCTTCCTTCACCAAGAAGAATCTAGAATTTTGCTTTACTACTTCATTCGACAGTTCAAACTTCTTAACCAAACACCCTCATCCTAGATCCTTGCTCTCATGTTATCTGCCCACAGCCCTTTTGCCATTTCTGAGCTGTCATACAGTCCACCACTCTAGCCTGGAACATTCTCTTCTCTGGTCTTTCAAACTACAAACATTCTTCCATTCCTTTAACTTCTGCTTAAACTCACCACATCCAGATAACCTTCTCAAAATAATTCCTCTTGCTTTGTAATGAATAAATCTAACTTAGTCCAAGGTTTGTGCTATGGGAAGATGGGGCAAGGAAGAACACTCTGGGAGAATGCTTAGCATGCCTTTCTAGAATGACATGCCTCTGAAGTCTCTCCCCACCCCATAGGCTTTGTGAGAAAGCACAGCTGCAGGGAGTCCCCAAGCAGAGCAGGTGTGAGTAGCCATCGAAGAGGCTCCATAGCAGCTGGACAGGGAGAAGCAGGGGGGAGTTGAATGGAGCCTACCATGGCCATCGTCCAGGAGCTCTGTGAGGTACATGGCACTGCAGGGAGACCAAGGCAGCGTCTTGTTCACGTGGATGAAGAACGGTGCCATCATGTGGTATTTGCCCATGGACCCAAAGAGTCTCATGCAGGGCTTAGAGTCATCGTGGGGCATGCTGAGAACGTGCCCTGGGGGAGCAGAGACCTGTGGTTCACTCCAGCTGCTCCCACCTCCAGCTGGCCCCACCTCCAGTTGCCCTTTCCTGCCCATGTGCTCCCCACATGTCCAGCAGTGGTGATGGTCCCTACAGTGGTACTGTGTCACGAGCTCCTCACTGGCATAGCCAGCCAGACTCCCTGAACCCTTTCATTTTGGGTCTCACCCTGGGCTCCGCTTGTCCCGGAAGCCTTCTCAAATGACAGAGGATCATTGAGACCCCTTTATTGCCTGCCCAGCCTGTCTGGAACTCACATCTATTTCTACTGTTGGTAAGCTTCATGGTAACTGAACACTTGTTCCATGTTTTGGCATTCTCTGGGTAATGCTGATGATGGCCCAGGACTAATTTAATGCTTTGATCTAATGCTTAGAGTAGGAGTGGAGTTAATAGCATCAAGTGCAGCTTTTATCTGCACAGAACCACTGTCAATGGGTAAGTGTGAGGCTGCCTCCTTCCCATCATCCAGGAAGCTGTGGATCTGGAGGAGGCAGCTTCCTGTGATGCATGAAGAAAGCTCTGGCATGATAAGTCTTACCTAGCTCATGGGCCAGTGTGTAGGCTGCCTGCAGACCCTCATCCTTGATCACGGAGCAGCTCTTGTTAGGGTCACAGATGGTGCCGACATCTGCCATCCCCAGGGTGTCACACTGCTCCCCCTTCCCGCAGAAGTTCTGTTTTGTGGAGAGAGCATGCTAATTTGGTTGTAGGAGTAGGGCAGCTGGCGTGGGGACCAGGCACAAGACATTTCGACTTCTGTGAGATACCACTTGCTGGTGCAAGCGTCACTTGTGCTCACAGTCTTCTAAAGCTTTTTTTTTTTTTTTTTTTTTTTTTTTTTTTTTAAAAAAAATGAATGGGATCCCTGGGCATGGTGGGCATGCCTTTAGTCCCAGCACTCAGGAGGCAGAGGTAGGGAGATTGCTATGAATTCAAGGCCAGCCTGGTCTACATAGGGAGTTCCAGGTCAGTTGGGACTACAGGGAGACCCTGTCTCAAAAAAAAAAAAAAAAAAAAAAAAGAAGAAGAAGAATGGGATCAGCAATAGCATTTGGCATCTAGACATCTCACCTAGTTGTCCTGCATTATTGGTTTTTCTGTCTCAGTTGTGGCCAAGCTAGTTCACCTATCTTTGCCTGTCTAATCTGAAAAGTGGACTGAGAAACAGTAAACTATTATTGCTAAGTGCACACAGAGGAGGGGGGTAGGGGTGAGAGAGAGCTGTCAAGAGGCATTTATGAGTGATAGAAACTTCCTGTCTGCTTTCCCATAGGCTAGTCATGCTGTTCTGGCTGGCAGTGCCCTAGGTTGGCCTGATTGGGAGAAGTGCACAATGGTTCAGGGCGTGACCCTGCAGTAAGACTGCTTGGGCTCAACCACGGGCACTGCTGCTGTATGGCCTCTTGGTGCCTCAGTTTCCTCAGTTGCAAAATGGGGATAACACTAGTTTCTCCTGTTGGCTCTTGTGAAGACTGATGAGGTGGGCATAGCCTGGCAAACATGACCATGCTCCCTGGCCTTCAACAAAGCTGTTTAAGTCACATTAGAGAGGTGGGCAGTCCTCCTGCTATGTGAAAACCCCCAGGGATCCATAGGTTACCTGTCCCTAAGCTTAGCAAAGATAGAAGACAGAACCCTGTTCCCATTTCCAGCCCCAGGCTTCTCACAGGGCAGCTTGAGCCTGTTTCCTTTTGGTATGATCTCAGCAGACAGCTGGTCACAAACTTTTGGAAAAGAGCCCTTACAAGATTCTTCTCCTTCCCTTGCAAAGGCCTCACACTTGTCCTCATGACCTCCTCCTCCTCCTCATTCCAGCAAGAGGCCTCCAGAGTCCAGCTGGGGCCAGCAGGGAGACAATTCCCATGTTTGGGCAGGCCTCAGGGCTCTCTCTTTGATCTGCCCATCTCCTCTACTCCCTGGCTTTCAGAACCAGCCCACACACCTGTCTGGTGAACAAAATGGCAGTGTCATAGTGCTCTGGGTGGCGGTCACTGGGCTTGTTGAAACGCCGCTGCCAGCTGCAGAAGTTGCGCAGTGTGAGCCCACCGTTGTCCGACACCTCTGGGCCCCATCCTTCTTCTTCCACTATCAGCACTTTTACTACCACAAGGTTGATGGAGTTCCTGATGCTTGGGTGCTTGTAGATTCGGGCTGCCATGGACATCACTGTGAGGATGTGGTTCTGCGGGTAGAGGGGAATAGCGTGGAGATCACGAGTCACCTTCATAGCCTAGGCTACCTGCTGCCACCACCTTTTGTTAGGAAACACTTAGCTCATTCAAGCCAGCCTCTGGGCTGAGCACTAGATACATAGTATCTCACTGGGGACTGGTAGGATATTCCCAGTCTCAGAGTTATTTCCCTTCATTTTCCCAGAGAAGAAAACTAAGGCTCAGTAGCTAGTCCAAGATCACAAAGCTAAGGAGCCATCATCTGAACCCAGACCTGCCTCGTCATAAAACGAACCCATTTAACACCCAGACTAGTTCATGTGGTGATTTAAATCCTACTTTAATTAAAACTCAATAAAATCAGAATGGACAGTTCTCCCATTGCATCAGCCCCATTTCAAGTATATCAACATCTGTATATTGCTTATGGCAATTGTACTGGAGTTGCAAATAGCTCTCTTAGGTTGGGTGGCTTATTCCTCCTGATCTGGATACCGACTTTCCAAGTATCCCCAGTCTTCCCTGGCTTCAATCCAGAAGCAATAATCAGAGGGTTCACAGTTAGTGGTATTTTCTTCTCAGAATCCATCCAAGCATTTTCCTGATGTTTGTTGGGATAGCTTCTACTTTTCAGCATGGGAACTGTTAACTTTGAAGATGGTTCTAATAATCACTCTTAGCAAAAGCTACTCTGCAATAGCCATTGGGGTAGACACATCTCATTAACTTCTTACAGTAACTCTACGAATCAGTCATTGCCATTTCAAGTTCAATAACTTGAAGATCACACTGGTTTTAAAGCCAAGATGCCAGTCCAGGTGTCTGTCTGAGGGCCACACTCTTCCCATTGAGTTTCCCAGAGTTTGTCTTTCTGGATTTTGCCTGGATAGCCCCACGGCACTTTTCCCCTTCTGCCTGGGGCTTGAGAGAAGCCGGAGGGCCTAATGAGACCCACATGCAGAGGATCCCACCTGCTTTCAGTTCCACCCAGGCCAGCTGAAGGGCTTATGGCCCTACGTCATTACTTGGCCCCTGGCCTATCCTTGAGCTGCCTACTGCTCTCCTGCTGGATTCCAAGGCTTTGAGAGGAGGCCAGATGGGAGCTCACTGTCTTGCCTTAGGGATCTCTTGGATTATTTCGCAGAGGCAGAGAAAAGAGGGGCAGAAGGAGGCATGGCTTGAGCCCATGTGTGGCCAGCTGAGCAGTCCCTGGCTTGCTCTGCTTCTCTGCTTCCTGGAGTCCTGCCTCCTTCAGCCCCTCTCTCTGTTCTCCTGTGGTCTGAAAGGTGGGAGTGTAAGGAGAGGAAAGGCTAAGGAGGAACGTTCCATGGGGAGGCCATCTGTGGGAGTTCTAGATGCATCTGATTATTTGTGAATGGGACTTGTCTGCTCATCTTGCAGGTAACAGGCCAGATGTTTTGTTAGTCCTATAAACAGGGATTGGCAGGTTTCTAAGCACCGGTTACTCAGCATGCCATGCACACTAGCTTGCTTAGGCTGATGTAGACATCTTATCAGCAGAGCTGCAACTTGGCATTTGTCCCTTGAGTTGGATTCCTGAGGGGAAAAAAGCAATCACATCATTATGCAACCGGGGGTGAGCCCTGAGGAATGGTAGCTTGTGAGGGGAATTGCTGGTCAGATCTTCATTGCTTCCTGAGGGAGGACAGACAGAGTCTCTCTGGTAATCGTCCAGGACCAGCCCCTGGGATTTCTTCTGAAGCAGTCTGCAGCAATTCTCCCAAGATTTCTTCAAGTCTCAATTCCATAATCTGAAAACTAAGGAGGTCTTTTCAAAACAGCATGAAGCCATGCTACTAGCTTTTAGGTATTGGGCCAAGGCAGTTTAGCATGAGGAACTGGAAGACTTGGGGTCTGAGAATAGTCTGTATACCCAAGCTCAACAGACCAAACCAGACTGAGGCAGAGTGACAGATGATGCAATAGTCCCGTAGGGAAAAGCCAAATGACTATGTGGAGGGAGTACAGTGTACGGAGCTCATGAGATCCTCTTCTCCAGATACTGAACAGCTGCTGAGCTGGCTAGAGTCACTGCCTCCACTCAATGGCTGGCTTATAAAGATATCTGAAGTTCTTATCACTGACTATCTTATAAGATAATCTGTTTAGCGAGGGGACAGAAAGATTCCGTGGGCCAATACTTCTTTCAGAACCCCCAGTTCTTGTCTCACCGAGAAGCACTGTCACCCCATCATTTCCCATGTCCATTTGGCTCCTCTGAGATATAGTGGTGGGAGCTGTGCATTGTAGTTCATCTCACAGTTCTCTGGGGAGATGAATCACTGAACTTGGGCTAGGTATGTCACATGGAGTCTATGAGCTTCTGATTCCCCATCCATTCTCTGGGTCCTGAAGGGCAGACCTGACTTATAGTCATCTGGGGAGCAGGCCTAGGAGCCAGTCAAGGAAAAGGTCAGATGACTTGCTCCACCACCTGGTATCTATTTATATCTCCCTGCTCACCACACAAGGACAAACTGTGAATGTGATTGAGATTCTGTCCTCCATGCACTGGGGGCCCCAGTCCAGTATGCAACCTCTAGAACCACCTCAGGGTGATGGGAGGATGGGGGCCCATGATCTCCACAGCCACGGTGAGCCAGCAACTTAGGAATCCCAGGCTCTTAACTTCCCTTAGGTAAAGGTGGCATTTTCTTGGGGGGGGTGCTTTTCTCTGTCGGTACCCCCTGAAATTCTTTGAGCCACAGAGATAAGAACATTCTTGTCCCTGGATTCTGGCTGCTCCCATGGCAAAGAAAGTCTACTTTTGTTATCCTTGTGGAGGTTGAGCCTGGGCCAAATGCACTTCCAGTGGCCTCTCGTCCTGGCTACAGTGTCATGCGTTGTATTTTGCTTATTTGGTTTTACACTGTGGATCCTAAATCTTTCCTGCATGGCACACCTGGGGGATCAGAAGGGTTGCAACAGGTGCCCACACTTGGTGTTCTTACTCTTCCTTCCTGGCATTGACTCGAGGGCTTTGGATAGTGCTGGAAGGGGGGTTGGGAAAAACAAAGGAAGAAAAAAGAGCAAGACTAACATGGCCATCCTTCATCTCACCTTGTTCTCCAAACAGCAGAAGGTGATTTTGCCTCAAAAGCACATCCTTATTCAGAACTGTCAGAAATTAGCCTTAAACATTCAGCTGGGGCAGTCTGCAAAGATGGTCTCTTTGCCATGTGGGAGAGCAAAACTGAAAAGCAGTGACTAGCATTCCAGTGATGCATGGCTATGCCATCATACCCCTGCTGAAAAATGCTTTCCATCACCAAAGGCAACTCTAATAAAAACTATGCTTTGTTGAAGATTAATTTTGTACCAGGCCCTGGTTCAGGTGTGTCCCATGCTCTGTTACATTCTCAACACAATGCTAGGACATGAGTATGTCCTATTTTCCTGGTGAAGAAATCACAATATAGAGAGACTTGTCTAGGAAAACCCAGCTACTTCCATCTCCCTCCTAAGTCTATGCTCCTGGCCACCACACTTGACTGCTACAGGGAAAACTTCAGCCTAGAAAAAACAAATCCAAAGCATGCAAGCAAGCAAGACTGTCCTGTCATCTATACACACCCCATATTAGGATATATGGACTTTTATTTTATTATTTTATTTTTTATTTTGTCTGTTTTGAGACAGGGTCTCCTTGTAGCCCCAGCTGTCCTGGAACTCACTATGTAGACCAGACTGGCCTCAAACTCACAAAGATCCGCCTGCCTCTGCCTCCCAAGTGCTGGGATTAAAGGCGTGCGCCACCACGCCTGGCTGGACTTTTATTTTTTTAAATACTCAATATCTTTGGTCATTCTGACTGCAGAAGATGCAAAGCACAGAAAGGATTCATTGTTTGGTAGGTGGGATGAACATAATTAATGCCAACATAACAGTCTTTCACCCATGAAGACCGATGTAGCTACAGAGCTGGTGGAACCCGTGTCTGTGCATCGTCCAAAGCGGCACATAATTGACATTAAAAGATGTCACTATTAATAATTATGCCAAAGCAGGCACAAGATGGGACTGTATTAGGCTATAGGATCACTATACTAGTAGGGCTTTTGGGAAAAAAATTGTCCCAGAGGATATAAGAAAATGAGACGGCCAAAATGGACCCCCAGGAGCCTGATGTCTGGGAATGGCCAGGTATGCTTTGGCAAAGGCAAGCACCACTCCCAGACCCTCCCTGCTAAGGATTCAGAAGCTCTGTTTGCTACTGAGGTCTATGCAGGAGAGCTCTGCCAACCACTCACTCTGCCCCAAGTTCATTCAGGGAACAACTAGCAGCACTGAAACGTAGACAAAGTTAATGGACTCTCATGAGGTGGTCCCTCCTTTCAGAAAGCCCTCTTTGTCTGAACTCCTTAACCCCGAAGCCAGCTAGGAAGGTGGGAGGCAGGGGCCTCCCTTTGTGAAAGGATTAAGTGAACTCACTTGCACAGAGTTGTCATTGTCATTTAGTAGTGATACCAGCCTGGATCATAGCTAATTCTTTCTCAAAGCTTTAAAGATGGTTGTTTCTTCTCAGAACAGGGCTTGACATTAGTTTGGGCATCTTGGGACTGCTGGATTTAAGGAGCCATGCCACAACTTAGACAGGTATGAGAATGTGAACAGAATCACAGCTCCTCCTCATGAAAAGATGAAGTAAAGTACAGTAACAAAGAGTGCCGAACTTAGGTTCAGGAAACCAGGTGATGAATCCAGCTTGCCACTTACCAGCATGACCTTGGGAAAGTCACTAGTCCTCTTTGAGCTCCTCTCTGCCTCCCTCACAAGCATTTCCATTAAGGTCATGCATGTAAAACCATTCTGTAAATGGAACATACTCAGAGTTTCTGAGCCTTCCAGAAAATGGGCTCATCATGAAGCAGCCTCACAGATGCTTAGATCAGAATCCATTACCTGGTCCAAATGTCTTGTTTTCTCTAGAGGGCCAGGGCTCTTCTTATCACCATTATCACACACTTCAATTACCCTAAGACACCCCAAAGTACCTTCAATCTGTGTTGAATGAATTGCCAGGAATCTTCTTGAAGGGTATATGTCAAGGACTGGCTTCTGTCTGGGGGAGGTGGATTTGAGTTAGCCAGGTTTTGAAGCACCAGAACTTGATTTTCAGAGAAAGCTAACTTGGATAGCAACAAACCTGGATTTCAGGCAGAAGTCAACATAAACTGGAACAGAACCAGACAGATGTCCTGCTTCAGTGGCTCAGGAGTGCTGGAGCCTGGAACCAAAGTTTGACAGTCTCTGGACAGCTGTGATTTTTGGATATACTAAGTATGTTCTTGAGGGAAATGCTTAGCATCTCCAGTGTTTAAATGAGGAGCTGGGAGAGAGGTTCTAGGGAGGGTGTTTTGGCTCTGAGGTCTGAACAACTAACTGACTTTTCTTGCTGCTTCCCCATGTTCTTGTTGGCCTTCCTACATTGTGGCTGTCAGGCATATATCTGAGACTTGGGGGACAGATGGAGATTTTAGCTCTGGGTTTACAATGAACCTATCTCAGGTTGTTCATGGAGGAGTCCCCTGGGGCCAGGTGTGATAGTCTTAATGAGATGGGGGACCTCCTCTCTTCACTCCCCTCCCACATCTTCTCCAAAATTTGCTGGGGGAAAGGAGTCTGAAGAAGTGGCTGGTACCTCCTTTCAGGGTGGGCAGAGAATCAAATATGCGATCAGTGCAGACGCAAACCTCAAGGGATTGATGGCTCAGAGCTGCCTTGCAGTGCTCTGAGCACAGCCAAAACCACAAACGTGTGTGAGGAGCCTGCCCCCAGCTTAACTGGTCCCTCTAAGTAGCTAGAAGAGCAACCATGTGAACCTCTTACCTACAGCCCTTCCCATTCTCTCCATCTAGTTTTCATTGGTTCTTTCTTTCTCATTTTGCTCATCCTCATCACAAGAAGGGTGGAAAAGAACAGATGAGAAACGGGGCTGACTGCCTCCTTGCCTGGCTGTTCTGCAGAGGTGATGCCCATGCCCTTGGTGCCCCCAACAGTAAGGCACAGGCTGAGCATAGGATGGGGACCCTAACCAATGATGCCAAAAGTGTTAACTGGACTACTGTGGGGCCAGAATCTGTTCTAGGAGAACTGTGATCTTAGAGTAGATCAACTCCCTCTAATTGGCATATCTCTGGCTCTAAATGCCCTGGGGGGAAATGGACCCCTAACATCTTCTCTCTCTGGAAAGACCTTTGCCTTGTCTTTGGAGGAAAGTATTGGGTCCTCTTGCTGAGTCAACACCATCTCTGCACTACCAGTGATCTTCTGGACCCAGGTTTTCTGTCCCAGGTGTGTTGAAAGCTGAGTGTGGATTGAGGATGGTTGAGTGGACTAAGCTCAGGTCTGGTTCTTTTGGAGACAATAACTGACAAAGTTCGTCCTTACTCCTGCTTCCTCTCCTTCTCACTGAGACTTCAGTTTCCTGGGCTGAACCCCCAGGCAGAAATTCTGCTTTCTTCCCTTTTTGTCACTGGATGCTGGCACTGCCAAGTTCTGCCAGGGCTGAGCGCCAGGTTGGCAAGGTATACTATACCCCTTGATCAGAACCAGCTGGGCGCACAAAAGTTGGGCAGCCCCCCCCCCCACCTTCCAGGTTCAGTTCTCTCCAATGTCTTTAACTTACAGCAGCCCCAGTTCTGCACCAAAAGGAGTCACTGTCTCAGCCCAGTTGCCTTTCCTTGGGAGGCTCAGAAAGCTGGGAACAGTAGGGAGTTGAAGGAAGCAGGGATGCGGAGCGGGGCTCTTTCAAAACGTGCAATTTTCAGCTTCCTTGGAAGAAGCAGGTACCCGGGACTGCGGGAGACTCAGGATGCGGTCTAGGACAGACAGCATCACTGTAAATTGGAAGGGACTAGCGGGGTTGCGGAAGTAAGAAGCCGGGATGGCAGAAGTTAAAGGAGTTACCGCTCTTTCTCAGAAAGGAGAGAGTGCTATTTGGGGTTGGGCTTGGGAGCGGGAAGGAGTTTTCTCAGCGGTACTGGGAAGGGAAGAATTGAGAGGCGTCGGGAGGCACGGGACTAACTAACAGGCTGGTGCCCGTGGAAGGCTCTCGAATCCTACCTGAAGGTCGGGCCCATAGAAGGTAGCCATGGATGCGTCGGCCACCAGCAGCGTTTCCACGAAGCGAGCCTCGGACACAAACCGCTTGCTCCTAGTTGTGGCCCCGGAGGGTGGTGGCAATTCGCTGGAGCTTTCTGCCTCTTCTTTGCGCACCTTCCTTTTGTCCTGCTCCTGTGCGTCGTCGCCTCTCTCCTGCCCTTGCGCCTCTCCCATCTCCACCTCCCACTCGAGTCCTTGAGGGAGGGGGAAGGCTTCCGCAAACACCTGGTCCTCACCGCGCGCCCCGGGCCCCCAGCGCTGCAGGCGGTGCGGCTGGTCCAGGGAGTCCCCGGCGCCCTGCGGCTGGATGGTGAACTCCTCGCCCGCCAGCAAGAAGGAGCCACTCAGCCCGCGACACAGGCTGACGGCCGCCAGCGATTCTGGCTCCCCATTCACTGTGCCGGAGAAGAAGCAGCCGCGCAGCCCCAGCTCGCCCCCAGCCGCCGCGCGGGAGCCCCCGAGACGCTCGATCTTGAACTCGGGCGCCAGGAAGCTGGCGTCGGGTGCCAGGCGCAGCACGAAGCCCTGGCCGAAGGCGGACAGGTGAAACGCGAGCTCGCTCGCGCTGCCCGGCAACCGCGTGGGCACTACCAGTTCCGAGGCCTGCCCCTGGGTTCCGGGTCCGGCTGGGGCGCCGCAGACCAGTGGCGGCGGCGGCGGCAGCAGCCACAGCAGCAGCGGTAGCAGCAGCAGCGGCAGGGTCGGCCACCGGGTGGCGGCGGGGTCGGAGAGCATGGGGGCTGAGGGGTGCTCCACGCGGGAGAGGGGAGAAGCCCGCCCGGCGCGGGCAGGTGCTGGCGGCCCCGAGCGCGGCCCCGCCGCTCTCTCCAGGAAAAAGATCAGATGGGAAGGCCCGCTGGGCCAGCGGCTGCGGGCGGCGGCGGTCCCCTGGCGGCCCCTCTGGTGCGCGCAGCCCGCGCCTCCTCCGCCAACCTAGCAGAGCGCTAGCAGCTGGCGCCCGGGCCCGCTAGCGCTAGTCCTCCGCGCGGTCCCACGCGCTGGCCCCGCGCAGTCGCCTCCTCCTTCCTGCCGTGGGAAGCACCGAGTGGGCTGCTCAGCCCTTCGTATTTATACTTCCTTCCCGGCTTTGACCTAAGAGGTTTATTTTTGATCTCTCACTATTCCCGTTTCCCCTCCCCTGGGGTCACAGAGAGAAACAGAAAAGAGGGAGAGGAAGGAAAAAAAAAGGTGACGAGTAAAACCAATCCAGAGTCAGTGAGCCCCCCTCCCCCCACCTCAGTTAACTGTCAATTTTTCTCCTGCCCTTTACGTGAGGACTCATGTTAACTCCTGTAATGCTGGACAGCCCTCGCTGGCAATTCCTGGCGGGAGACACTAGCCCCCTTTTTTTTTTGCTGGAGTCAGGTACCTCGGACACACCTTCGGAAGAGGCCCCTGCACTGGCCTCAGGGACAGATTCCTGGAGAGATCTGACTGTCAAAAGAGGTTTTTGGAGAAGGTTCCAGAACCTCTAATGTTAAAACACAAGAGGGGGGTGGGAAAGATTATATTAAAATAATGCTCTACACTTGGAAACACTGCAGAGCCTTAAAAAATTGGTTAGCAAGGACTCTTAATTGCTTTGTTCCAAGGATAGTGGGGCAGTCTCCAGCCCAGCGAGAAGTTACCAGCAGGGAGGCAAAGTGGATTCAATACTCAAAAAGGAAAGTTTGCATTACCCCATGAGGGAAGTGCTGTCATACAGTACTGTCAGCTGCATTGGGGACGCCAGGAAAGGTGGCAGCTCACTTTCACCACATCGCCCACAGCTCTGAGCACAAATGTGTATAAGGTTAGCTCATTCACACCACCATGTCTTCCTGGAGAAGAGCGGGACCCAAGAACAGAGAGATGACAGAGTCCCAAGACCACAAAATCCAGCATTTGATCCATTCCAGCCTTAATGGTACAGCCTAGATTGGATTCAGAATCCTGTTTTCTCAGTACCAGTTCTGTGCCCTTTCTGAGTTGTCAGCATGGAGGATCCACTGAAAGTCCCTTTGGCACCTCCCTGATGCCCAGCTACCCAACTCTGCTTATACTGGAGATATCTACAGCTGAAGGCTCCTTGCTTCTGTTGGCCCTCTTGATCCACTTACGTAGCCGCTCAGGGTCAGCCTACATGTGGGACTTTCAGGATTGTCACTTACAGAGAGGAGGCTCTTGGTGTGACAAAATTGCTTTGGTGACTACAGAATCCAGAGAGACAGCCTGGCACTCCCCAAGTCCTCTCTTTGTTTTCTTAGCAACACAAAGGTGTGATTGTGAACTTCTAATCCAGGGTAATGCAGAGTCTCCTTTCCTGTATAGGGGATTGGAAGTTTGGGTGAAACACTTCTAGGGACAGGGGACTGGAAAGAATCACTTCTTCAACCCTTTACCAAAAGTGAATGAAATGCGTATCCCCCTCAGCTGTGTAATACCGATGGGACAGTGTGACCTGTGCAGATAATAACAAATCTCATTTTGCCTCAGGGCTGTGGTGACATCATGGGTCTTTGCCTTTAAGCTCCTTATTCACCATTTCCTAGTGTGAAACTCCCGGTTTTCTTTTCTTTCTTGAGACAGGGTCTCACTACATAGCTTAGGCTGGCTTGAATCTCACTATGTTACCCAGGCTGGCCTCAGTCTCCTAGTCTCTCAGCCTCCTGAGTGCTGAGATCAGAGGCCTGTGGTGGGATCTCATGTTTGGCTTTCAACTCCCGGTTTTCAATAGCAGTTAGGTCCTTCACATCTACTGTATCTTTTTTCTCCTTTGTGAGCATCTGAGAAGAATACCCAGCTCTTCTTTCTTCCTTCTGAATACATGGCTAGAACAAAACCTAGGAAAGTAAATGTCCCTGGTGCCTTCAATTGGGAAGTCTCTGGAAGCTGCTGCTATTTAAAATAGGAAAAAAAAAAGTCTTTGGAAGTTTTCTTGGGAGAGAGTCAGACAGTGAACTGTGGACTTTATGTTGCCTCATTTCATCAGTAACCACAATCACAATCACAACAACAATGGCTGGATAGCAAACTGTGCCAAGAAATAGCCAGGCTTCCCTCTCCCTCCTGGGTTCCTTCTCAGTAGTTGTGCCTCCATGGTAACTTCCTGAGAGACGCCTGCCATTTGCAATGCAACCACAAGGTGTCAGGCTTACCTTAGCTATACTTAACCCCTGGCCCTGGCTGGTAGAGGAAGCCCATAGAAGCATGGCAGATGAAATCATATAGCAAAACTAACACTATCACCGCCCACCAGTGAAAATCCCCAATGGACATCCTGCGAGTCCTGGAGTTTCTACCTTACTGTTCTTTTTCTCAATGTAATTTCTGCAAGGGTTGGCAAACTGTGGTGCAGGGCCAAGTCTTGTATGCTACCTGTTTTTCTACATCCCATATGCTGAGAATGGTTTTATAAATTTTAAGTAGTAAATATAAAAAATTAGATTATTAGTGTCTCATGACACTTGAAAATACCATGAAATTCAAACTTCAGCGTCTGTAAGAAAGTTTGCTACTGGAAGGTGGCCATAGCCATTCACGGACACTTGCCTGCATTTGAGCCATAAAGGGCAGGGCTGAGTGAGCTTAAAATATTTACTATCTGGCTCTTTCTATAAAAAGGTTGTTGACTAAATGTAAAACAGCGTTGGTTTGGATTCCTTAAATTCGGAGTGTGGGATGTAGACAAGGCATATATGATTCTTAGGGAGCAAGAAGCTCAAAATACTTTCTTGTTCTGAGTAGGAATGGGAAAGTATATGAAAAAGTTAAAATAACTTTTGTTTTTTCAAAAAATCTTATTTATTTTTATTTTATGCATGTTAATGTATTGCTGCATGTATGTGAGTGCACCTGTGTCTTGCAGTGCTGTGGAGGTCAGAAGAGGGCTTCAGATTCCCCTGGAACTGGAGTTAAGGATGGTTTGTAGTTGCCATGGGAATCGAACCCTGGTCCTCTGCAAGAGCAGTCAGTGCTCTTAATCCCTGAGCCATCTCTCCAGCCCCATTGTTTTTAAATTTGTATCTGGTAGTCATTCATTATTTAATTAGCCTTTAAATAATTAATAAATTTTATACTGGCTTACACTGTAAACCTATTGTAAAATTTAAGTTTTTAAAGTTTTCTTAAAAGATTTAGTTATTTATTTGCATGTATGTGTCTGTGTGTGTGTATATCACTAGTGTACAGGCTGTGCATGTGCATGTAGGCCAGAAGGTGGCATTGGGTAATCTGTCATTTCCTGCTTATTGTTTTTAACAACTATTTTTATTTATTTATTTATATTTTTATGTGTATTTTTATGGTGCCAATTTCAAATAGTTTTTATTTAAGACACTGCCTTTTCCACTTACGGTGCTCATAAAGTGCAATGTTATGTTCTTTCCTGGTGCATGTGTTCCTTTTTCAAATATTACAAATGCCCAGTAATTTATTGTAGCAGTTCAACCTTAAAACTGCCACAGAACTTGCTAAATTTGGGTTCTTCAAATATTTTATTGGGGAACAATGCTACATCTTTACTTGGATTGACTTTAATCAACCTCTTCGATGGTGGGCCGGGAAGAAGCACCACCAGAGGGAGGAGCTCAGCCACCAGGGAAGCCCCCAGGCATTCCTCCTGGCATGCCACCGGCACTCTGGTACAGCTTGGTAATGATGGGGTTGCAGACTTTCTCCAGTTCTTTCTGCTGGTGCTCAAATTCTTCCTTCTTAGCAGACTGATTCTTATGCAGCCAACTGATGATTTCATTACGCTTGTCAGGAATCTTCTGTTTGTCCTCATCATTGATCTTGCCTTGAAGTTTCTCATCTTCAGCTGTTGCTTTTATGTTGAATGCATAGGACTCCAGTGAGTTCTTTGATGATGCTTTGTCTCTGCTTCTTGTCTTCTTCAGCTTTGTACTTCTCAGCTTCCTGGACCATATGCTCAATGTCCTCCTTGCTCAAGCAGCCTTTGTCACTGGTGATGGTAATCTTGTTTTCTTTTCCTGTACTCTTATCTACAGCAAAAGCATTGAGGATACCATTGGCATCAGTATCAAAAGTGACTTCAATCTGAGGAACACCTCGGGGTGCAGGAGGTATGCCTGTGAGCTCAAACTTCCCAAACAGGTTGTTATCCTTGGTCATGGCTCTTTCAAAACCTTCATCTATCTACCTGAATGAGCACGCCAGGCTGGTTGTCAGAGTAGGTAGTGAAGGTCTGCTTCTGCTTGGTAGGAATGGTAGTATTGTGCTTAATGAGGACAGTCATGACTCCACTAGCCATTTCAATACCAAGGGAAAGAGGAATGACATCCAAGAGCAGCAGATCTTGAACATTTTCAGATAGAATGGCAGCCTGGATGGACAGCTGCACCATAAGCAACAGCTTCATTAGCTTCAGCTAATGTTCTTATTCAGTTCTTTTCCATTGAAGAAGTCTTGCAGAAGCTTCTGAATCTTGGGGGATACATGTGGAACCACCCACCAGAACAATATCATAGATCTGAGGCTTGTCTAGTGTGGCATCTCAAAGGGCTTTTTCTACAGGGGCCAGAGTGCCACAGAACAAGTTAACATTCAACTTTCAAATCGAGCCTGGGTAATGGAGGTGTATAAGTTGAGTCTCATAGAGAGACTCAATCTCAATACTGCCTGGATCCTGGAGGAGAGGGTACACTTAGCCCACTCACAAGCAGTGCGGAGATTGCAGACAACTCTCTTGTTCTCACTGATGTCCTTCTTGTGCTTGCGTTTAAACTCAGCAATGAAGTGGTTGACCATTTGGTTGTCAAAGCCTTCTCCATCAAAATGGGTGTCTCTAGCTATAGATTTGACCTCAAAGATTCCATCCTCAATAGTGAAGATTGACACATCAAAAGTGCCACTTTCAAATAAAAGTGTCACTTTCAAATAAAAAATCAGTGTATTTCTCTCTGCTCCAACTTTCTTATCTAAGGCGTGAGCAATAGCAGCAGCAGTTGGTTCATTGAAGTTAGTGCCTTGAAAGTGCATTGAAGCTAGCAATGGTTCCAGCATCTTTGGTTGCCTGCCACTGAGAGTCATGAAGTAAGCTGGCATTGTGACCATGGCATTAGTCTTGCCAAGGTAGCCTTCTGCAATTTCCTTCATCTTCATTAGAACCATAGAGGACACCTTTTCTGGAAAGAAACCTTTGGTCTCCCCTTTGTACTCTCTTTAGACCTTGGGCCTGTCTGCATCGTTCACCACCATGAAGGGCCAGTGTTCCACGTCAGACTGAACAACAGCATCATCAAACTTGCACCTGATTAGACGTTTGGCATCAAATACTGTTCATGGGGTTCATGGCAACCTGATTCTTTGCAGCATCACCAATCAATCCTTCAGTGTCAGTAAAAGCAACATAGCTCGGTGTGGTTCGGATCCCCTGGTCACTGGCAATGATTTCCACTTTTCCATGCTGGAAGACATCCACGCATGAATGTCAACTACAGGTCCCTTAGACAAGGTTGCTCTCATGTGGGCCCAGCTCTGCTGGAGTGACGACCGCAGAAGCCCCTGAAAAGTGCCACTACATTCAATCGTGTATATGTTTTTTTTATGTGTATGTGTTTTGTGTGCATATATGTAAGTGCATTAGTGCTGTATAATGCCCACAGAGACCAGAGGAGGGTATGTAACCCCTGGAAGTGGGGTTATATATATTTGTTAGCTGCCGTGCGGGTTCTGGGAACTGAACCTGAGTCCTCTGCAAGGGCATCCAGTGCTCTTAACTGCTAAGCTATCTCTGCTTATTGTTTTGAGACAGGATCTCTCCCTGAACCAGAGACTTGCATTTTCTTGGCTAGATTGGAAGCCAGCAAACTCCAGTGATCTTCCTGTTTCTGGCCCCCTCAGACCTGCTTTTGAGGGGTGCCTGGCTTGTTATTTGGGTACTCCTGATTGCACGTCCAGCTCTTTTTAACTGTTGAATTATTTCTCCAGTTCTGAACTTCAACTCATACTGTTATGTAGAGTTTTATACAGTGCTTATCATACATTTATAGTGTGTACTAAATTCTGGTAGTCTCTAGAATTCCAAATTCTTCAAAAATTGGAAAAAAAATCAGTGCTCATCTAATCCACTTCTATTTTCATTTTGTAGAGGAGGAGAGATGCATGTTTAGTGGCCTGCTCAAAAGGCATGTGAGTGACTGTAGCATTCCCGCACATAAATGCTACAGTACCCTATAGGCAGAGCAAAAATTTCTTTACCTCAAAGTTTCCTTTGTAATTTGTAGTTTTTCATGAATGCTGATGGTCAACTCTAGGTGTGGTATTTTTTAAACGTTCATTTAACTTAGTTTTCATTTACACCTAAGTAATAACAGCTGCTATCTTTTGAATGTTTGCTGTGGGCTGAGCATGGAGCCAAAGAGGGTATCATACAGGTTAAGAGTTAGGTTTGAAGCAGCTGGGTAACTTACTTAGGGCCACCTGGGTAACAGGTGGCAGAGGCAGGGCTCTTAAAATCAAATGTACAAATTTCTAATTAAATAGAACATTTTTGGGAAAATGTCCTACACAGAATTAGTGTTACTTTACCTAGAAGCAAGAATCAAACCATGGTGTTATAGAGCTAGAAAGGAACAGTGGTGCTTATCAGGCCAGTGTCATTTGGAAGGATGCTTAGAAGTCTCCGTTTTCTGGCAAACGGCCCTTCTTTCAAGGTCTCCAAGAAAGGAATATAATAGCTTCTCTCAAAATCTCTTTATGTCACTTAAACACAAGCAAAATTATTTCCTTCTAAACAAAGCAATACCATTCCAGATCACAAGTCACGCCTATTTTCTGTTATTCTGTCATTCAGTAGCCACAACTCTTCCTAGCAGGCACTGGAGAAAGGGCTTCCAGTCTCTATCCATCCTCTTACTGAACACACATCCCAGGAAGGTCTCGTGCCATTTCAGTATCGCTTCTGTGTTAACATTCATCTTCTGTTTTCTTTGGCAGATTCTTGTGATAGTCAGTTACCTGTGTGTATGCGAGGTTTCCTGTCATCTCTGCTCAATTCTTTCATAGTCCTAAATTGTCTTTTGGGACCTCTGTATCACTCAGTATTTGGAAAACAATTTGTTCATGTTCTTGAGATCACCCTGCAAAGAAGTAGTTACTCTGATTCATTCCTGCCTTCATCTAGCCACTGTGGTGTTCTCAATCTCCAAGGACATGCTTTCAGTGGTGTTATCTGTATCAGTGAGAAGCAGATCTAGTACAAACAGCTTCATGGTGATATTGATATTGATTTGCTTTCTAACAAGATTTTAATTGATTTAAATATACTAAGAAACAAAGGTATCTATAGCTCTTTCATTCATGTTTTTAGTGTATTGTGTGCACAAAGTTGCTTAAGAGATGGTCCCCAACAGTGCTCCTACCCAGGTACTACAAGGTTAGCAAATAAAGAGTCTAATGCCAGGCATGGCCTCTGTCTTTTGGAGCTGTTGACCAGAGGGTTCCCATAGATCCTCAAACAATACTGGCTTTTGCCGTTGCTCTTGGTTACCCTCCAGAGCTTGATGATAAGGCTGTATTGCTGAAGACACTATGTGCACGAATCATAGATCAAACAAGGAGAAACCAAGATGGTACTGACCTTGATGCTTCATCTCTACTGGCTAGTTTTTATAGTGCTGGAAGCTGCTATGGTTGCTACCAGAAGAGAAATATAACCACCAGTCTCATCCAGCTGTGAATCCAGGAAGCTACAGCAACAGGCCTGTCAAGAAATGCCCACTAGCAGCCCTAAACACAGGAGCATCACTAAATGAACTTTGTGCATTATATATATTTATATGTGTTTCTATAAATGTATGTATATGTGTGTAACAATAATCAAAGAAGAGGACAAGAAATTGAGAGGGAATGGGAGGACATGGGTAGAGTTGGAGGGGAACTGGGAGGGATGGAAATAATGCAAAGACAATACTCATGTATGATATTCACAAAAAATAAGAAATGAAGAAAATATTATGGCCACTAATATAATAGTGGCATGGTTGTTATTGGAATAACCAATAACTTTCTAATTGAGTTAAAACCTGCTTCACAAGATAGAGCCCTTACTTGGTAGTGCTATCAGGGCCAGGAACCTGTGGCTAGACAGGTCACAGGATATAGTAGAGAACCTCACTATTATACTGCTAAATGACATGGTATTAAACTGACTCTTAATGATTTATTATTGTAAACATAGATTAATGCATCTCTCAGCTCTCACTAGAGAGCTTCATTTTGCAGTAGATAATGACTTACACAGAGAGCCACAACTGATCAACATGCAGAGAATAAGACTGAGGAGTGCTCAGCCCTAAATGGGACACCTGTATTATACCCTCTCTTTCCAAGGTTAGGGATCATTTTGGGAAAGAAGGTGGGAATTTTGTAAGAACCTGAGGTGGTAGTTGAATACAAGGAAATTGTTTTCTGGACATAACAAGGCAGTTATGCATATGAACCCACAGTGCTTGTGATAGCATGCATAAGCATTGCAAAAGGCAAGCCTAAGCCAGACAAAATCCCAGCATGGAGAGTGGAGGTAGGCACAAAGTCCCAACCCTAGTGGAGTAACTATTGGGAATTGGTAGCTGTTGGGAGAGGGAGACTCAGTTTCCTTTAAGGGTGTGATGTAGGCTAGGTTGACCAGGCTCCAGGGGATGGACCCAAACTCAAAAGTATTTGGGAAAAACAAATTAGACTCATTAGGCTAATAGAGGACATAAAGTGAGGGGGGGGGTAGGGAGGTATAGGTAGATCTGAGAAGAAATGGAGGAGGGCGTCTAAATATGATCAAAATAGAACCTAAAAATTTTATAGCCACTTTTGAAAGAGATGTATATTTGCTCTGGAAATTGTTATTGAGTATGTTAAAGCTGTAATGAAATGCTTCTTCTAATAATTAAAAAATAACTATAAAAAAGAAATTCTCAAAGAATCAATAAAAATATTAAAATAAAAAGAGATGGTCCCTGCCCTCCAAGTTACTCTAATGGAGGAGTATATGGGAAAGGAACACATTAAAGGCTTCTTAGGATTCCAGACTGCATCCACAATTATAATCCATGATTACTATGTAATTGACCTATAAGCATTACTCTGACGTTTGAACTATATACACAGTAACAGTGGCCACCATAACAGTCTCCAGCATGCACACCTTGCTGCATATGAACAGAAGGTGGCACTGTTGGAACTTGAATTTCTAGAAGGGGCTACCATGCCATGTAAGATTAATAGATAGTCCTTCCTAATCATATAGATCAGAAAGCTGAGTGTTCACTAGATTCCTTACATCCAATCACTGAAGGAGATATGTTGTCTTATTTAATGTAACTTGTGTCCTTTTTCCTAGTGCTTTTTCTTCACCACCATGTCTGGTCTTTTTCAAGACCAGTGCCTCTCAACTCATACTATCAGGCAGCCTAGGAGAACTGTCCAAACTGAGATGTTTTCAGTATTGGGACCACTTCAGTCTCAAGGATGGCTTGGCTCCTGTACACCCAATTAGATACTAATGCAAACATTTCCCCAAATCTTCAGTATTGGTCACAACCACCAGGTGGGAGTCTCGTCACATTTACTTTTTTGCTCCTGCTGGAAGTTGCTCTGAAAACCCATAAACAATGGCCTCATTACCACTTAACCATTTTTTAAACTTGTGAACTCACACTTTTTTATCCTTTTTGGAAGGAAAGAAGAGAGGTGAATGAAAGGCACTAGGCTCTTCAGGATGGAGAGCGATTTCTCAGAGCAGGTAAGGTGCTTAATCAAAATCATCAAGGTAATTGATGCAAAATCGAATTAGTCCTGTATGAGTGTGCTTGTAGTGAGTTAGAATGTGAAGTGCCACAATAACAGACTCAGCACACCCAAGAATATGTCAGTGTTTCTTGTTTTCTATCACCACCACCACCACCACCACCACCACCACCACCACCACAAATGGACACTGTCTAGTCTCTTGTAAAACATGTGAAATGAATCTTGCCACCTTTTTACCAGTCTCTCATCTTTAGAGCTGCCTGGGGGTGCTCATCTGACCTGCTCTGAGGACCAGTAGAAAGTCCAGTTATTCAGGACTTTAACTTGATAGCACCTACTACTGAGAATTTTCAAATTTTAAGAGCTCTGAAGAAAGAGACCCAAGAGGAATAAACAATGGATAGGCTTCCAAGACTGTCACTTCAGTATGGGAGAGGCCAGGGCCACATGCCATATCTTCAGTGACTGTGCTGCCTGTTGCTGCTTGCATCTCTATAGAACTCTGTCATTTCAGCCAGTCAGTGGAAGCATTCAAGCAAAGATGAGGGCACCTGCAGGGGTGTTCAAAAAGAGGATTTCTAAAGAAGATGGGAGGTCACATCTGTTAAATGATCAAATATCATTGAGTAGTGGAGTATTCAATTCTGGATAGGAATCCTAGTTTTCTGAACAGCAGAC